AATAATTGTGCAACTTTCTTCAAATTGCAAAAAAAGAATTTTCGTTTACTCTACTATTTTTTACATCAATAATTACAAATTGCTTTATATTTTAAAAATGGTACAAATCAGAAACAAAATTATAAAGTTATGAAGAATTTAACAATTAGGCTAATCTTTAAACAAAAAATAGTTAATTGGAAAAATGAAAATTCCAAAGTGTTATAAAACACTATTTTGTTAACTGTAAAAATAATTACATTAATTTTTTATTATTTCTTTACCAAAATAATAACAAATTTGTTGAAAATTATGATGTAATTATTTGTAATACCAATTTCAAAATATGTTAATTATAATACTTTTGATTTATTTATATTGTAATTCATACCTATTGAAATGATTTTATGTTTAACAATATGATATATTTTTAATATTACCAAATCATATTATTTATGTAAAACAACATTGTTGTAATTGTTTCCTTTCGTTTTCAAATGTAAAGTGTATGAAAAATTTATCTATTGTTTTTGAAATAAAGAAAATGTTTTCCCAATAATTAACCATTCATATCAATGAAAATTCACAAAACAACATTTAACGAAATTATGTGGGAAACCAAGTGAATATTTAAACTCTGAAATACTACCTATTGTGATGGTTCTTGTCAGTTTGTTGTTGTTTGTCATTTCATTTGTTGTGTCAAACACTTTCATTCTTTTCAGTTACACACTACGGAAGTTTAATTTGATTGCAAGCCACAACTCTCGAAAGATGTTCCATATTACTTTTGGATTGAGTCAAATGATATTTTGGCCATTGTATCCGGATGATCTAACAAGTCGCTTTCTTGGGACTTTTAATTGTCTGATTTACTCTTTTATTTTCTTTGTGATGGGTGAAGGGTATTGCAACGGCAGTTTGTATAAAGTGCTCAAAGTTGTGTTATGTAGACAAAACGACCACAAAGAATTTTTGTATGGTCCACTGAATTACTGTGTCACCATCTCAGTAATTGCACTTATATTTTGGAGAACTTACCCACCAGCTATCATTGGAATAAGTCTTCTTTTATGTGGTGATGGGATGGCGGAAGTAATTGGCAAGTCAATTGGTAAAGTCAAGTTAACAACCCCTTGGGGAAGAATTAAAACACTTGAAGGTTCTCTTGCTGTATTTATATTTGGTGGTATTGGAGCACTTGTTATGTGTTATATTATATTCCACAAATTCTTTTTCTTCTACACAACACTTTTAGCATTGGTTGGGATGGTGGTTGAGTTTTACTCAATCCCTGAGTATGACAATGTACTAATACCACTTTCGTCGCTAGTTTTTGGCGTCTTTTTGTTCTAATAAATAACTTAATGTTCATAACATTTAAAATTAACAATATTATAATTAAACTGGTGTATTTATAATAATAAAAAATCAAAAATAGAATAACAACATTAATTTTGTTCAAAAACAGACAATAAAAAAATAATATAAAAATTTATTACTTTAACACTACAATACTATTGACAACAAATCGCCCTTTATCTGACAACCCATTTTATATTTGGTATATAAATAAACAATAAATTATTTTTGCACTTTTAATATTGTGAAGTCAGATCCATTATTCTATGAACTCAAATATCGTGATACTTATATATATAAACATACCATTGTTGTTGTTATGAAGTAAAAATGCATCACAGGAAGTTTTTTGTCGATAAATACAATTTTAAAAATTTAAGACTCTGTTTTTAATTATAGAAAATATGAAGGAAGTGTAACCAAAAGTATAAGAATTACATACTGTTAATTTATCAACCTAAAATTTTCCAAAAACACCATTTTTGTCAACCCATATTACAAAGAATAATATGCCAATTCTAGTTCTTTTGTATTCCAAAACACAGTCTTTTATTTTTTACCAAAAGGCAATAAAGCTGTCAAACAATGTACTGTCGATTTTCTAATTTACAAATGTTCAAATTGGTTGACAAGATTTTCATACGAAACATTTTTGTGTTTTAAATCATTTTTTAATATAATAAAATGAATGACTTGTTTTATTTTTATAACTTAAAGTAAAAAACAAAAGTATTTTTATGAAAAATTAGAAAATTGAAGTATTATTATTGACTGTATATCATAATAAATTATTTGTCAATTTTAATATACAGGTCAAAAATTATTGTAATTATTATTAACCACAACTCTAATTGTCAAAAAATAGAAAGGATAAAAAACTGCAATTTTCATTTAACCGTTTTTAACGTTCAAATACTTGTAAATAATAAAATCATAATACACAGAAAATACAAATTACCATTTTAAACTGAAAAAATTATTTACAGAAAATTAATAGCCTTTGTGGTAAACAGTAGCATACATTTTATTATTATATTTATTATATTCATTTTTATATAATCAAGTAAAATAAATTTTTAACGTATTTATTAATAGAATAAATATGAAATTTAAATTATGATCATTAATGATGTTTTTGATTAACAACACATTTGTTATATTAAAGATAGTTCAGAATTATTTAGTAAAATATATTGTTCGCAAAATACTTTACATAACACTTTAAAATATGTATTTGTTATTAAAATATATAAATTAAAATTTAAAAATCCACTTTAATTAAATTTGATGATTGTTATTTATAATTTGAAAATTCATAGTGAAAGCCATTAATGTCATCATAGAATTCTTTTATACAGTTTCTCATTTATCACACTTATTTTTTTGTTGTTAATTAATCTTATTTATAAGCACTACATGTCTTACCGTCTATGTAATATCCTTTTTTATGAGCAATTCAACGTGAAGTTGTTGTTGAAGTGCAAACTCTACAATTTAAATCAACACATTTAGTCCATGTTGTCCTAATTAATATATATTTTTGAACGCTTTTTAAACTGTAAAGGAGTTTATGCAAACACTGTATTAAGTATAATGTTTACAACTATGTGCCAAATTTAATCCAAAATATCAATTGTTATTAAAAATATCAAAACAATAATATATAAATTGTAGTGGTTCATCTTATTGTTTTTCAGTATTTACCTTTTGTTGTGAACATATTAAAATTTTTTATTTGAATGTTGAATTAAAAAATCATGTACGTAAACATAACTTATAATTAATCATGCAGATGGTCATTTATTCAACACGTTTTGAAATATCAAATTTACAACTCAATTAAATTTTTATAAAAACACAAAGTTAAATAGAAAAGAAATATTGGTGATATAGAAAAGTTTTTCTTTTTCATCGTTTTGAATATTCTTTACAAATTCGAATAGTCGATTCTTATTTATTAATAAAAATAAAACCAGTAAAACGAAAGTAATCTGTTTTTTGTTCAAACTTAACAACAGTCTTTATTTTAAACTATACAACTATTGATAGTTTAATATTTGTTCCAAATTGTATAAAATTACAAACGGTAATATGTGGGATATATTACATGTAAAATCATAAAAAAACTGTTAGTTAATCAAAAGGTTGTAATATATTATTTAACATATTGTATATTTAGTTTTTGAGTCAGTCTTCCCGTTTGCAAAAATAGATTTATTATATTTACTTATTATAGTTTATTTATAATAAATTATAGAAATTGTTATTAAGGTAAGAGTATTTAAGCGACACCAAAACACACCAAACATAAAATGCAAGCAGTTAAATGTGTCATAGTTGGCGATGGAGCTGTTGGGAAAACATGTCTTCTTATCAGTTACACCACCAACGCGTTTCCAAATGAATACATACCAACAGTTTTTGACAATTACAGTGCAACAGTGATGGTTGACTCAAAACCAATCAATCTTGGACTCTGGGACACTGCAGGGCAAGAGGATTACGACAGATTGCGCCCATTGTCATACCCACAAACAGATGTCTTTTTGATCTGTTTTAGTGTTGTCTTGCCGCCTTCATTCGACAACGTTTCATCAAAATGGCAACCCGAAGTTGTTCATCATTGCCCCAAGACTCCTTGCCTCCTTGTTGGGACAAAGTTGGACATGAGAGAAGACAAAGATCAATTAAAGCGACTCGAAGAAAAGAAGATATCCCCGATCACCACTGAACAGGGTGAAGCAAAAGCCAAAGACATCAATGCAGTGAAGTACATCGAATGCTCTGCTCTCACACAAAAGAATTTAAGACTGGTTTTTGATGAAGCAGTTAGAGCTGTCATCTCCCCCAAAAATGATGCTCACTCGAAGAAACCAACTCAAAACAGATGCTCTTTACTTTAATTTATTTTTAATTTAATGTCAATTGAAACTATATAAACATCTAATACAAACTTTTTTGAATATATAATTAAAAAGTTAATTATAATAACAACAATTATAGAACAGTTGATGAAAGAAAACAAATTTTGTGAATGTTACAACTTTAAAAATTGTGAATTTTTTATTGTTACAAAAATTAGTTAAAGCTTTGTGAACAAATGTACCAAACTCTCTGAAATAATAATACTTTAAAGTGATAATCATTTTTATTTGTAGACATCGAAATGTGATTCTAAAAATCACGAACTATTAAACAAGTTAATTTATTGTAGTTTTTTCTAAATGTTGTATGTTGGTATAACATTAATTTAACTCAAAAACACATTAACAACAACACACAATGTAAATTTTATAGATTTGTTGTTAGGTATTGTTGTTATTTGAAACTGTTGGATAACGACTATTACTTCTACTACTTCAAGTTTATTTATTCCGACTTTGAAAATGTTAACAATACTTTTGATGTTATTTAAGTGTGGATTTTAGTATTTTTATATAATTTAATTTAATCAAAAATTTGAATTTAACAAAGATAATACAATTAATTTAATTCAATATAAGTCTATATTTTATGAGTGTAATATATAACAAATTATTATTGTATTTAATTTTCGAAAATAATATTGATCATTATATTGATTATCTTAATATGATATACTTTTAAATAACATTGAATGTTATTATTATCTCTTGATATATTTGTTTTGTAAATAAACAATAAACAATTATAACTTAAATTCGTTCAAACAAATAAATGAATTGTGTGTAATTATTGACAGTTCACTTAAAATTACACAAAAAGTACATAAAAATAAATTTATGTTTAACAAATTCTAAAATTATTAATTACAAAAATAAATTGTGTATTGATTATTTAAATAAATATATGTAAATTTTATTTTTGTAATGTGTGTAATTAATAGTGACGTGTTTTTCCTATTTAAGTTCACAAATAATGGTTAAAATCATGGTTAAACTTGACTCGGTCTGTTTAGAGAATCTAGCTGCGAATATTACTCAAGAAGAAGTATACAAGTTTTGCTTTATCAGTAAAGCAGCTCGTAGTGCCCTTGAAACACTCAAAATAAATCATGGAATATCAAGGCAGTGGGTCACGTTGAAAATCAAGTTAAACACATTATCAAGTGTATGCCAAACTTAAAAACACTTCTTATTGATTTCAATAGTGTCAAGAACCTTAAAGATGGCGTTATATCAAACGTTCCAAATGTCAGAGTTATTTACAAAGATAACATGTATGAGTACACAGAGTGTGAAGAAACCCCTTACTTTGAAATGGTCATGGACAGCGTTTACCGAGTTTATGATGAACTAGCCGAAGAACCAAATACTCACACAGTCCGAGCATATATGAGTACTAATGATGATTACTCAAACTTGGGCAATAATATCGCTCATTTCCCCAATTTGAAATTTTGTGAAATAGATGTAACAGAGAATTACAATGACTTTTTGTTCGCAAGTCTCGAGGACAGTGTCCAAAAAATTCTACAGAATGGAAAGGTCAATGTTAACATAATAATTCGTGTATATAAAGGAGACACCGAACGTTACGAGTATTTTGAGAACATCAGAAAACAAATTCAAAATGATCACGTTTTTTATACTTACTATGCTTCTAATTCAGTGGGTTATCCTTTGGTGTTACCTAAAAATGTTACTCCAATGGAAATATGCGAATCAATTTACAACAAAGGAGAATTACTCACTAAATATTATGCCATGTCTAAGTTAAGATTGGACATTTATGAAAAAGACGTATCACTTGATGTAAGTGAAATGAAATATTTGACTACTTTTAGAATTGATTCTAATGAACCTATGAATGTAACACTTCCAACTTCTCTTGAAGATTTGTTTGTTTTTAAGAATGTCAATATCACTAATTTCAATGAATTGACTCAATTGAAATTTGTTAATGAACACAAAAAGGTTAAAGGTAAAGATGCTCTTCGATGCTATCCGCTTTCTGATCGTTATGGTCAGACTACACGTTGCGAAACTTCAGACTAAATAAGTTTTTGGTCTATTTGTTGTGACAAAACATAATAATAATGTTTAACTATAATATAGTGTAATTTAAAAATATAAATAACTTTATATATACTATTACAGAAAAAGGCTTCTATTTTTCGTTATTTTTATTGTCAAACTTGTCTATTTGTCGCACAACTGGTTAATCATTTTGATGTACAATTAGTATTTTTGTTTTTGAATATGCATTTTCCTTTAATTAAAACCAAAATTATGGAATGGACACTTTGCATAATGCAAGACAATTATAATTAATTTGAATTTTTATAAACAGTTTTTAGTTTAATAATTCTAAACTAAAAACACATAATCCATATCAATTTTAATTAAATAAATGGTAGAATGTTAATTATGAAAATATATAAATAATCGCTTTTATTTAACAATTATTGATGTTGTAACAAAACAGTGATTATTAATGGTGTTCATAATAAACACTAAACAACAAGTTTATTATTTTTATGCTAAATAAGTTAAAAATAAAAAATATTCATCAATTATGATTATTTTAAACGTTTGAATGTTCGTAATATATTGTTTGAACGCTTAAATCTGGCACAAATGAATTGAGGAAACCCGCATTAGTTTTTTCTTTTTTCTTTTTTTTCAATCTTTTACTAAAAATACGTTTTTGCTTATTTATATAAACTGTTTCCAAAAAATCGATAGTACTTGTTTTATGTTAAACTATTTTAAACCAAATGTTAAAGGAAAACATCTTAATCTATTTTTATTTCGATATTGTTAAATTGTAATTGTTATACCATGTTTTTTAACAAAAAAATATTTAATCTAAAACAAAATTACCTAAGATTAATTTACCAATCTTGTTTTTCAATTTTTTGGTATTGTTTAAAATCGCTCAAATGTCCAATAGGTCCACCTTTTTCGTTTTTGCACATTTCGAACCTGTAAGTCATCGAATTCATCAAATTGTTAATAATCGAGTATGGTATATTATTCCAAACTTTTTTAAGATGCTTGAATAACAACTTTTTGGTTCTGAAAACACTTTTTTCGTTTCTTAATCTCCTTTCCAAAATTCCCCACAGATGTTCTATTGGTGACAAGTCCGGGCTTGATGATGGCCATTCAAGCAATTTGACCTTTTTACTTTTAATCCATTTTACTGTTTCTTTTGCTTTGTGAGGTGGCGCCCCATCTTGCTGAAAGTAAAAGTCATGTTTTCTCTCTTTTTTCATGTGTTCGAAAATTCCATTGTGTTCAAGCATTCGACAATAATCTGCCGCTTTCATTTTCTCAGAACACAGAATCAAATCCGATTTGTAGTCTTTACCAATGGCTCCCCACACCATTATACTGGCATTGTATTTTGGTGTTTGACCAGTGTAATTTTTGAATTTTTGAATTAACACTTTTCTTTTGGCTTTGGTTTTTGCAACTTTAATGTTTTTTTAACATTTCACCAAACGTGTTTCTTCTTCTCCAACAATATGATTTGTCTGGAAATAAACAATAACGGGATTCGTCAGAAACAATCGCGGTTTGCCATTTTCTGAGATTTCTTTTCTGTAGCATTTTTTGCAAAAATCATATCTTGTGTTAATTTGTTTTTGTGTAAGAATTTGAGTTGGTTTTTGTTTGCAATATTTAAATCCGTGTGTTCTTCTTAAGTTGTAAACTGTTGACTTGGACAAGTGATTGTTTAGTGCAATCTTTGAACAAGTTGAAAATGGATCATTTTCAGTTTGTTTGACGATTTTATCGATAACATTGTTGGTAACTTTAGTGGGTCTCCCTCTTTTTACGTTTTTAATGGCGATTTTGTCTTCAATCATCTTTTTTACTCGCGCAATTCTGTTCGGAGACACTTTCATCATTTCTGTGATAACAGAATATGAATTACTTTTTTGTAAAGCTCCAGCTATAAGGGTATCAATTTTGTTCATTTATTTTATTAAGATTAAAAATTGAATTTTTATTACCAACTTTTAGTATTTTTGTTCGTTTAACATAAATTAAATTTCAAATTCATTTACCAAACAACTAATAAATAAGACGATTAACTTTAATTTTATATTGTTTTGCCGTTGGTATTTTTACATCTTTTGTTTTTTTACATTCAAATCATCTCAAAACGTAATTATTTTATTAAGTCGTCAATTTGTTAATTTTCTTTTATCTTAATCATTTTATTCTTGAAACCAATTTTATATTAATTATTAGTGTTTAATTTCAATTCATTACCAAAAGCTTTTATTTCAAAAAAATATTTTCATTTGATTATAACAACATTTTTGGTTTGTTGTTATGAATACAAATTTGTTGCTACTGAAAACAATTCAAAATTGAAGTACATTTTTGAACTTATTTAACAGGAAAATAACCAACAAAAATATCTCGAGTAAAAACGTTGCAAAAAAACAGAAAAAAGACTGAAAATAAAAATAAATATTTTTTTCAAGTAAAAACATGACAGAAAAAAGAAGGAGAAATATATTTCCCAAAATATAGGACTTATTATTAAAACAACAAAACCCGAAAATGTGCGATAATTTCAAAATTTCTCACTATCGATTTATTAGAAACAGTTTATACCGTAAATCCGGAAATAAATGGTTCACCATTTCCAAAACAATTAAAAAAAACTAAAATTTTAAATTTGATTCTTTTTTAAAAAGATACTAAAATAATAACATTTTTAAATTCCCAAAAATGCAGAATGTGCTTTTTTGACTCAACACTTTTCAAAAAAAAGACCAATAAACCACCAAAAGTATCTTTGAAAAATGTTATTTGGGTGTGTAATCCCCAGAACAATAATTCACTATTTAAGAACGCATGAAAAAGGTTTAATTATAAAGCCCAAACATCCTTTTGATACCAAGTTTCTTCCATTTTCAGTTTAACAAGAATGAATTTATGTTAGATAAGGCACATTAATCAAAGAAAAAGAAGGGGTGTTTAAAATGTGTGATTTATTAGCAGACGTCTCCAAAATCGTATGCCTAAATCCACGCGTCATCACTTTTTAACCAAAAAAGAAATTTGCTCATATGAACATGAGTTTATAGTCATTCTCATCTCTTTTTTACCTTCTTTTTGGACAACACGATTTTGGAGACCCCTGTTTATTAGAATTGTAAACAAATACCACATTATGTTTTAATAATCAAATACATCATTTGCAAAAACGAACCTCTTTCTTAAAAAGTAACACAGTAGAAATTCAAAACGAAACAGTTCTCAAAACAAAGACAAACTTTGACAAAACGATAATTAATTTTCCGCCACATTCAAAAATAATAAATACCTGTCAACGATGGGAGACGTTTTCTTTCAAAATTGCAAAAATTCGATCTTTCAGAGAGTTGATTGAAAGTGGTAAAAGCAAAAGGGAAGCAGCAACTATTTTGGAAATAAAATTTACCACTCTATTGAGATGGGACAAACAATATGATGTGTTTATTGTGCAAGCGAATAAAAATATAAGAAACAATTTGAATGGGCAGGGGAGGAAACCAAAAAATGTTGAACACTACGAAAAGTTGGCACGTTTTGTCAACAAAAAAAGAGCCAAAAAGAAAATCGTTACAACCAAAATATTGATGCAATACTTTTGCTCAAAAGTTGTTCCAAATCACACACCTTCACTTTTGTCAAAAAACAAGTGGTTATACACATTTTTGAAAAAGAAACATCTGTCCATAAGAAGAATCAACAACAGGATCATACAAACGAGAAAGGAAAACAAAGTCGACAAGAGAGAGGAAACGATTAACCACCTCAACACAATGAGTGAAGTGTGTCAATATTTTGAAGATGACGCAATAATAAACATGGATGAAACGGCTATAAAGTTGACAGATGCAGGAAACTACACGATAACGGAAAGTGGAGAACAACATTTTTCCGCGCTTCTTCTCGGAAACGAGAAGGAAACAATTTCTTTTGTGGCAGCAGTGTCAAAGTCCGGAAACGTGTTGAAACCAATGATCATCCTAGGGAAATTGAAAAAAGTGCCGAAAAGTCTTGAATGTGATGCAATAGTGGAAGTCAATGAAAGTGGGAAAATGAACGAGGAGCTGATGGTATCTTGGAATGAAAAATGTCTTCGTCCTTATATGGAAGAGCACCATATTGAAATGGTAGCTCTAATATGTGATGGTTATGGATCCCATCTCACGGAACACGTTGTTAAGAGCCTGGCTGAAGTCGCTGACATTTTTATACTCCCTTCCAACTCCACGGGTTTCTGTCAGCCGTTGGATTATGGTATATTTGGATGGTTTAAAACACAATCAAAGGAAGAGTATTTGAGATGGTACAATTTAAATAGCAATCGTGCAGGTCGTGTGACCCGTGGAGAAAAAAGGAAGGAGTGTATTATGAGATCTCTTCAGATCTATAACAGAATTCCAACAGAAATCAAAAACTCTGTTGTTGAGTCTTTTTTCAGGTGTGGGATTTGTGCTGGTACGTTAGAGGAGAAAAGGGTTAATATGAATCCGGCTTTGGAAAAAGTTGTTTTTTCTTCCATTGAGGAATGAAAAATGTGGTTTTATCAATTCCAAATGAATATTTGAATTAATTGTTTGTTTTATTTTTTATAAATTGTTTTCACTTTTGGTTAGTTTTTTAAAACTGCACTTTTGGGTTTTTTATTTGTTTTTGCGTTAAAAACATGATAATTGAACCATTAATTTATGGAAGATTTAAAAAAATGAACCATTTATTTCCAGATTTACGGTATATATTTTCTATTGTTTCAGAACAAAACTGTACCAATTATCATGTTCACACGTTGAATATTGCTTTTTGTTGTACTCTTGAAATGACACTAAAAAACGACGATAAATTTACACACGATGTTGAGATAACCGATCCTGTATTATCTGCAATTATTAATTCCTATTGTGATAATTGATTATTTTTCGTAATGACAATTACTATTTTTTATTACCTAACTTTTTAGTAAATTGTGTTTTGCTTTTTATGACAAAAATGGGGTTTTCCAATATGCCAAATTTAAGCTTACAAACAATATTATAGTGTGTTATTTATATTCTAATTCATTATTAAATTAATGTCAATAATGATCTAATCATTTACACAAAACAATTAAAAATTTTGAATTAAATTAGAATTAAAGATTAAGTACCAAATCACATAAAAAGTATTACGAACAATATCACGACACTGATAAAAAGTTTTTCTGTCGCATTCAAACTGCACGCATACATTCCCTCCGACAACCCAATACTTGGTTTCATTTTATTTCTCATACATTCAAAATAATCTGTTTCCATTTTTCCATCCAAATCGGAGTATCCCACATACACTCCATTGTGATACAAAATCGACTCTTTATGTGGTACAAAGCAGTAAGGTTTTACATCCCACTGATAGTAACTATCATTCGTACAATTTTTGAACACGCCTCCATCGAAAAAGAAATTGAACGAAGTCTCATTCAATCTGAACTGTTTTGAGTGTGCATTTCCGTCGCTTCCATTCCACGTGTCCGGCTTCAATTTTTCGAAATTGGATAGATAGACGTTATCAGAGATGTTCCACGTGTTATACTGAGTGTCGTTAATGAACACTGCGTACCATGTATAATTCGTGTGTATGAAATTATTTTTGAATTGATTATTTTTCGTCTTCCCCTTCACCAAGCAGTCTGAATTGAAGTTAATAGCCGCCAGACTGATATGAATGAAATTGTTATTAGTTATCACAATGTCGCTGTAATACGCCACATCGCTCCACCCCCAATACCCAATCCCAAATGTGCTTCCCCAAATCAGATTATTTCTTATAGTAATGTTAGTTGTGGATATAAACTTAGGCGGCCAATCTTCATTTCCAATACCAATTGCGTGTGTTGTTTCTCTTCGACTACATTTATAGAGACTTTTGTATGTTATAATGTTGTTCTCTATAATCGTGTTATGCGCGTTGTCTACATATATATTCACCCACTTATTATCGTGTAAATAATTGTTCCTCACTATGCAAGAAGTACACATTATGATGTCTATCCCTTCGCCCCACGAATTCATTATTTCATTGTTTTCGATATAAATGTTACTCGACAAAATAGGCACTTTTGCATCTATGGCGCCAGTTACAAAACACTGCATCCAATTGCTCTGTGTGCAATTTTCATCTTCTAAGACACAGCCGTCCGCAAAATTGTTTTTTAATGTCACATTGGTGCCAGAAGCATACATCGCCCAATTCGTCGAATTGTAGATCTTGAAATTCGAAAATGTCACATTCGTGCAATTTTTGACCGTCACAGTGTGACCAACGCCGTTGCGAACTATAAAAGGACCTTCGACTAATATGTTCGATGAATTGGTCAGTTGAAATAAAACATTTTCATTTGTAATAGTCTGGAAAATTACTTTGGCATTGAGAGCAGATCGAATGATAATGGGGCGGTCATATGTACCATTCATCTTGGTGTAGACGACTTGTGAAGGATATGTCCCACTCATAAATTCAATCACATCTCCTGGTGTTGCTTGTGAAGATGCTGATTTTAAGGAGGTGATACTTCCCGTTAAACTGATTTGTATTGTTTTTGACGCAGTCAATGCAAGTATAAAACTTAGTAACAACGTTTGTTTAAACATTGAGTTTAATTTAAAAATTATTGAGATGTGAGTCAAGTATTTTCTTCTTCAATTTTAAATGCAAAAAATAACTAAATAATCTATAATCTAAATTATAAAGAACGAAAACATGAATTTAATACGATTTTTTTAAGATAAACATTCAATTTTTATGTAAAAGTTATTCGTTCATTGTAAATGGACAAAAAATACAGTGTTTGTATTTGTATTACTGTTAATATTATTTAGTGGACAAAAAATAACTCCAACTATGTGTAAACAACGGGCATCAAATAAAACGTAAAAAACAAAACAATAAGACAATATTTCAAAATAATTCTCGAACTATTTGATTTTTTATTATCTAAATACACAAAATAAAGATCGAATACCAAATGTTTTTATTAAATTAAAGTATCTTGTCTAATTGTTTTTTAATATTAAAGAATATTGAGTTTATAAACATTATTTATTTTAAAAGAATTAACAACATATATGTGAAATGCTTATGATGAATAGTAGAGTGTTGTGTTTATAAAATAGTAAATGTTGATAACAGAAAAATAAAAATAAATTTGTAAATGAAAGAATGTTAAAATTGAAGTATTTAATGTCAATTGACACGTCTATTACTAACAGCCAAGTGCTCGATCAATATAACAATAAGTGGTTTTAATTTCATTCATTTGAATACCTACATTACGCTTTAATAAATAGTTTCTTTTCAATTATAGTTTAGTATAATTTGTTATTAATTTCAAAAATAACTTTAAAATTAACATAAAATAATATCTTTATTAATAAATATAGTACATTGTGTTTCATTTGGTTTCAAATGGCATTAAAAACCAATATTAATAGTTCTATAGTAATACTATTTGATACTAGTTATAATATAACTTTTTAAAACAAAGATAAAATATTATTATAAATTAATAGTATTAAAATAATTACTATATTTATACTTGATAAAGAAAAATAGCAAATATTTTTTTAATAAGTAATTAAGTTAATTACAATATACAATGGCCATTGCTTATATTGCTAGCAGTTGAAAATATGCCGTGTGCTTTTTTAACTTCAGTAAGATGCCAATGTCGTGTTTGTAACATTTGGGCAATTTTAAAAGAACAACCACACAATCAAGAACTTTGGCTCCTCGTCTACTTAATGTACAAATGTTCACCAGTTTTGAAGATGTTTTTTGTGTATTTTCCTCGAGGTAACAAGTTTTCAGGTATCTTTTTAAACTTATTCAAAAGAAGTTGCAATACCAATATAATAAGTACCATATTTACGTCCAATTTTGTTTTTTACTCGAATAAAACTCTTGTTCCAAAACAGCAAATCCATTTACATCTTGTCCGTCTCTATTGTTTTTTCCATTTCCATTATTTCCATTTCTTGTATTTTTATTGTATCATAATGTTTAAGAGCCACAACAACTCCAATAGAGTTCGTAAGGATAGATTATTGATTGACTTTTTGCGAAGCTGTGTTGTGTAATTGGTTTTTTTCTAAGTGAAACAAACAAACAGTGTTTCTTATTGTATTTGTTTGATCCTAAACAAATATGGATTTAAATATGGTTTTTTGTTTTCTATTTTTAATATTCCAGTCAATTAGAATCGCTTTTAAAATTGACTTTGTTGTTAATTTTTAAGTAAAATGAATTTTTTAAAAAATATATATTTATTTATTATTATAATAATATAATATAAAAGAATCAAAAACAGTTAAAAATTGTACACTACATTTTTTTTGAAAAATG